ACAACATTGTTAAACCCTTATAATAAATCTACTTCATTTCAGCCAACTTGACCACCCAAGATAGCTCTCTCCCTCCCTCCCTCTCTCTCTCCTCTCTCTCTTTCTATACCCATTTAGGTTTTTGTCCTTTATTTTCCTTTTATTTTAAAAGAAACTTTAAATACCCTTAAACTAAGACAAAATCACTTTTTCCTTTAACGAAAGCAGATTTTTCATACCTTTTCTTGCCACAAATACATCTAATTTTCCTTGCATAGTTTTTTTTAGCCCTTATTATTCTTAGCGGTCTTATTTACTTGTATTTGTCGTCATAAAAAATGTCCAAATCTGTAGAAAAATTTTATACGAGTTTATTTGAGTCAAACTGATGATCGGTGCCGGGGAGCAAGATCTCAAATGCTCCACAGAATAATAGTTTTGCAACTTCTTTTTTGCATTTGAAATTAAGGAGAGGACTTAAGGAAGATTACATGGAGACAGGAAAGAGTAAGGCAGGAATTGGCTGCGATGAGGGTGGTTATGTCTTAGTAGGAGGGGTCAGAAAGGGTGGTTCACTCATTAGAGTACCCCAGGCAGTGTTACGCAGCTCTTCCTCTGCATAGCTCCCACCTCTCTGGTTTTCTGATACACTAATTAATCCCGGTGGCTTCCATCTTCCTAACCACCAACATCCGTCTCCTTACCTCGGTGAGTCTACTGTATTCTGCCTGGGAGACCACTTCTTGACTGCAGACCAGAGAGTACCGCCCCAAAAATTCTAGGGAGATCATAAGGCTCACCTCATTGGTGTCTTTCTACGGTCCTGTGCTGCCTTGTCCAATATCCGACAGCAGTTTCATATATTTTGTACATGTGTTTAATCATTAATGACATTAGGACAAGTTTAGCACCGGTTGCTCCATCAACAGAATCAAACAGGATTCTGTTTGTCTTCAATTTTTTTCCCCACTTCTTCAGATTGGATGATTTCTATTGATCTGTCAAGTTTACTAATTCCTTTTTCTGCCGTCTCCAATCTGATGTTAAGCCCATTCAGTGACTTTTTCATTTCAGTTATTACACTTTTTGTTCTCGAATTTCTATTTGTTTCATGTTTATAGTTTTTCTGTTCATTCACCGAGATCACATTTTCCTTCAATTATCTGAACACATTTTTAATAGCTCCTTTAAAGCTGTTGTCTACTAAATCCAATATCTGGGCCACCTCAGAGTTGCCTTTTATGATTTTTTCCCCCTTACTACGGGTCACATTTTCTTGTTTATTTACACGTCTGATGATTTTTTATTGTGTCCTGGACATTTTGGATGATACGGTTTAGAGATTGGATTCTGTTATATCACTGGATGACTGTTAATTTTTGTTCTTGTAGGCAGTTCAATTACTGGCTGATCATCTTGAATTTGTAGGCTTTGTGTTTTAGTTTTCTGAGCCCTCTAACTTGTTCAGACTCAACTTCCAAATTCTTTTTCTTATGTGGATTTTAGTTTTAGGGAAGGTCTAAAGTAGGCAAAGGTTGGCACACTATGGGCTGCAGGCTACACAGAGCCTGCTGTTTTTATAGATAAACTTGTATCAGAACACAGTCACACCCCTTCATTTACATATTGTCTAAGGATTCTTCGATGCTACAATGGCAGAGTTGAGTAGTTATTTATAATAACTTCTGTGGTGGTGAAATTTATCTCTCCTTGTACTTATATCAGAATTTGCTTTATATTTCATATTTAGAACTTTGTATTCCCTGATGAATTGAACATTTTATCATAGTAATCATTTGTGTCTCTAATAATGCTTTTTGTCTTAAGGCCTAGTTTTTACAATATTAATAAGGCTCTATCAATTTTCTTTTGCTTAGTAGTCAACCGATTTAACTTTCTTTATCCTTTAATTTTTAAAAATTTAAATCAAAGTAATAGGTGCACATTGTTTAAAAAGCCAAATAATCCATAAAGGTTTATAATAGACACTAGCAGTTCCCTACCCCACTGCTTACCACACACCCCATTCTGTCAAGTCTACCTTCCAAAGGCAAACACTTTTGACTTGCTCCTTTCTTCTTAATAATATGCATGTACTACGATATTTCGGTTAGCGATTTTGAGACTTGTACCTATCAGTTTCCCAAGATGGTAAGAATTTAGCTGTCTGAGACAACTGTCCCCTGAGCTCCCCTTTCTCCATTGCAATATATTATTATTTTTGACTAAATAAGTATTTGGGGTTTTTATTATTATGGCTATGCAATGATTCATAGCGGATGAATCATTTCCTTTCTTGTTTATTTTTTTTTAATTTTTCTTTTATTTCCTAAAGTGGGCGATTGCCTTAATTTTTTCTTTCTTTGTTCTCATTTTTGCTCCTCCCTAGAGTTTCTTTTTCTTGGAGGCATGTTCTCAATAATTCCATTCTTCTTGTTTTTGGATTGCTTTCTTTTTAGGCTTGCTGCAGAGCTAACATCTTGGGACTCTGTTGTCATTCCATTGTTTCTTCCTTTCCTCTGATTAGGATTCTGCTGAATCACATGTCTAACTCTTCCTTGGTTTGTTTGGTTTGCTTTTTAAAAAAACGGGGTGGGGGTGGGGAAGAGCATGTTTCCGGGTAGGTTTTTTTGGGGTTAGAAAGGCAGGAATTCAACATGAGGTACTGAAATTCCGGCCTTCAAAATATCTGTCTTTTAAGCTACAGTGATCCGATCTAAACTGGTTGTCCCATATGGCAAGTGCACTGCCATTATGGGGTCTCTCTCCATCTTCATTTACATTTGCCTCTCTCCTGTGTTAGATCTCATTTTCCGGATGTACATCTTCCTTTTCTTCTTTAGTTTAGGCCTTTGTTTTGGAGAAACATGCTCTCTGGTAGCTTCTTGAGAAAGGATACATGGGAGGTAAAATTTTTGAGATTTTGATGTTTATTCTATCCTTGAATTTACTGAATAAGTCAGCTGGGTATAGATTTCTAGGTGTATTAGTTAAGGAATATACCCCAATATATTATAGTTCAAACAAGATAGTTTATTTTTCTCTTCTACTGACAGTCTAGAGGAAGCAAGCAGAAAGACGAAGTCCCCCCAAGCACCCAGTTTTCTTTCCAATTCATTGTTCCCTGGGTCAGTCCTAAGTCAGCTTACCAGCAACAAACCTGAATTCAAGCCCACAGGAAGGGGAGAGGTACAAGCAAACAATTTTCTTTGTGACTGGGAAAATTGAACATACTGCTTCCATCCTACTGGCCCCTGTGGATGAAGTTATCTTCCAGTCCATCTTTTTATTCAGTGTGTGTCGGGTCTAGATTCAACCTCCATGTGAGGGCTCTGGTGTTCATTTTCCATTTTCTGTGTGTGAAGCCCAACAAAATACAACATTTCAGGCCCCAAGAACAGGCATAGGCCCTGGCAGAACCATCGGCTTAAGCCCTAAAGATTTCTCAACATTCTGAGTGCATGCCCACCCCTCACCACTGCCTACCAAGCCCCAGGTGGTCCGGCCCTCCCATCTCGCTGCCCACATCTCCCCTTCTACTTCACACACCAGGCTCAAGCCCCACCGGCTCCTTGCTGTTGCTCAAGTTCATGAAGCTCCTTGCAACCTCCAGGCCTTTTCTCATGCCATTCCCTCTGTCTGAAGACGCTTCCTCCAGATATCCATTTGGCTTGCTTCCTCCCTTCATTCTGCTCAGAAGCCACCACCTCCCAGACTTTTGCTTATTACCGTGAGCAAAATAGCCCCTCATCACTACCCCGTACCCAGCTTTCATTTTCCCTCAGAGCACTCATTACTACTGACATGGTATCATATTTTATTTGTCCATGGTCTGACTCTCCCACTGGATATGTGCCTAGGTGGTTGATTCAGAAAGGGATTCCAGGGAATGGAAATGGGGAAGAGATGTAAACAGCAAAGGAGGAGGAGCCAATACAAGGATGTGCTATTGAGTCAACCACCCCCAGGATCTTCTGAGACTGAACGGTGGCTCAGAACTCTGTCAGGGGAAGAAAGTAAGAAGCCTGTACATTTCAGCTGCTGGCTCCTTTGCTCAAGGGTGGCCCCCTGCAGGTGTTTAAGTCCCCTGCACTTCTGGGTTGCACACGAGTCAGAGAAGCTCTGGGGCAAGAAGCAAGAGGCTCTGGCCCGAGGTGAGACCATGTCAGGTTATCCCTGTGCAAAGATGGTGGAAGCCCATGTGGAAGTGGTTGCTGCGGCAGTGGCTACAGTGAGCGGTGAGGCCGATCGACTATGATATGGGACCCTATATGGATATATGCCCATCACCGCTTTTCCCCAAGCACAGAGGAGGAGCCAGCACACAGTAAAAACTCCATAAATATTGGAGTTTTTATGAATGAATGGATGGTGCTGTAGTCTCGTGGATAAAAGGCAAGTTGTGATGAGTTAAAATAAAGCGAGCCGTGGTTACAATGGAGTAAGTACAGGTTGTCAGGGGGCCCACAGTGGGAGCCTAGCTCCTCTGCGGGAGGAGAGAGGACTTTCTCGAGGAGACAGCCCTTAAGCCAAAATCTGGAAGATGAACAGGAGTTAATTGCACAGCAGACTTATGAAAGACTTGCACGTCTAAGTAAATATATCAGTGTATGAGTGATGAAAATTATAGGTAACATTTACCAAGCTCTTTCCTTGGGCCACACACTTTGCCGAGTGCCTGATGAGCCTTGTTATTTAACCCTTTAACACACAGACTGTTTGATCGATTTTACCCAGGGGAAACCTGAAGCTCAGAGAAGTCAAGTGACTTGCAGTGAAAAAGAAGAGATAACCATTTCCCCCCATTTTACATAGGGGTGACTGAGGCCCAAAGCAGAGCAATGACTTGCCCATGGTCACAGGAAGTTAATGGCAGAGTTGGGACTAAAACCCAGGTCTCCCAAATCCTGGGCTTGTGTCCCTGCTCCAGAACTGGCCAGACAGAACAGGCATTAAGGAAGAGTGAGGCAGGAGGGTGTTACACCCGGCCACGCTGAGCTGGGTGGGCACTACCTCCCCAGCTATTACCAAAAGAAGCTGAAGGAAGGCACCTGTAAGACCCGAGAGATGGAACTGACCACAGGCCAGCTGCGGTCCCGGAAGAAGCTTCCCCACAACCCACAGCAAGCAGACGCTTTGGAAATCCCAGAACGAAGGGTCCTCAGGATTCTGAGCCGTTTGAAGCAGCAAAACTATGGTGAGGGCCCTGGCATGGTGGGGTCTCTGGTCTGCCCACGTGGCCTC